GAGACCGTGGCGGAAATGTTCGCGGGTTGAAAGGTCAACCCGAAGCGCATTGCAGACTGTGAGGGTTTGTATAAGTGTAGAATAAGTGTGTATAATTTCGCGAGAAACATGCAAAGCCGAGAAGATGCGCCAGCGAAATCGTTTCTTCGAGAATGCATCTGCTCGGCTCGTAATCGCGAAAAATTCTGTCGCGGAAAAAAGCCGGCAGCTGCAAACCGCCTCATCATGTGGCACACGCCGAACGTTTATTAGCGCACGGTGTGCGATCGTGCGCTTCCACGTCTATTTCAATCTATATCTGTACATCGGATCGCCGTATAATCGGCTCTCCTTCGTGCATAATTACGCGCGGGAATCACCGTCATCGCGCACCGGGAGAGAATGAGTCATAAAAAGTCACGAAAATTAAATAAGCTATTAGAAACAGACGAATAAGCTGTAAAAAAGACAGATTGGAAAAATTTATGCGTTAATAAACAATAATTATTGCGTGTATTTGTTGTAATACATTAAATGACTGATAAAATATTTGCATGTTGAAAAGTTGTCTGAATATATTGCTTTTTGCAACAATTTATATTTAATTAAAAAGAGAGAAAGAGGGAAAGAGGAAGGCGGAAGTTTCAAATGTTATTAAGAAATTTAAGATTAATCTTAAATTAATAAATGAATTCTTATCACACATAAAATTTATCCTTCTTTTTGAATTGAAAAAGTATTTAGATATATATATATATATATATGTGTGTGTGTGTGTTATTTTCTCGTTTATGAATTTTTTATAAAATTAACGCGTAACTGATAAGACGAAGATAAGCGACCTTCTACTGGAATGTGAAATAATGAGTTTCTCATTTTTGCTTTAATTGACGGTTGACTCGTGATCAAACCAGTTTCCCTGGTATAACTGACCTACACTTAGCACGTCCGAGAGCTGTGGCACGCGTAAAAGACGGCTTTGAAAGGATCGCAACAATTTCTGTCGCCTTGTTCGCCTCAGGCGCATCGCCGACGAGTCGTCGAACTCTTTGCGATGCACTCTTCCGAATTCGATCTCCACCTCCGACCATTTCTTTCTTTTCGCAATCACAGAACCTTTGTCTCCTTCCAATTATTTCACCCTTGATTTGCCTCCATTCGTATCTTCGTCCATCTATCGTATTTCTATCTATCTTTTCTTATCGGTATGTACGTCTCGTTCATTTTTCCTTCCTTCGTCATTTTCTTCATCTGTCAGTATCCTTGAGACGCCATGCTCGATACCTTTTCTTCTCGGTATAACCGTGAAAACATTTGACGTGCAATAAGGCGTCGCGTTGAGTAGACGCAAAGATCTTATTTAGCCCCAAGCGCTGGCCTGTTATTAAAGGAATGCTGAATTTAAGGGAAACGAAAGTGCTCGTTAGGTGATTATGCACTGAGGACGTATCAAATTGGCATGTAATACCTTTGCACGAAACTATTTTCTTCATCCGTCGCCTTGAAATTGGATCTCGCCAAGATTTTAATTGATTTCTAAATGGAAAATATAATTTCAGGACACGTCACTTATGCGGATCCATAAGTGACGTCATTACGTCATTAAATTGAAGCTGACACTGAAATCCTGTTTATTTTTAGAAATTTAACTTTTTTACGTCAAGCCGACATCGAGCCCTCGTAGGATGATTCAAACGACGTCACATGACGACAATCGTTTTTGGCGACAGACTTTCCCAAGCCTCGCGTTTAAGTCAAGTATCGCACGTCAAACCCTTAGTAGTGTGTGAACACGGCGGTCGCTACAATAACGTTGTTCGATCCCTCAAAAAACCGCGGTGTGTTCAAGTAGTCCCGATAAGTGCACTTCGAACGATCGATCGTTCGCGCCCGTGTCGAAACGAAATTAGAAAATCTCTCCCGTTCTGGAAACGCGTCGTTTGCCGGAATTCCAGCCAAAATATCCAGCCAAATAAAACTCCAATAAATAGAACAATTTCTTATTCGCAATTAACGCGAATGCGAATAAACACCGAAGGGACGAAATTTTGAATGGCGCTCACCCTTCTGACTTTCTCCATTCTGAATCTGTACGTTAGGCAACTCCCGCTGCTTCGCAGCCGCGTTCCCCACTGTTTGGACAAATTCGATCCTATCTTCGGAAATCGCCTCGAACATACCAAGACGCGAATAAAGAAACGACAAGAGATTCGATCTTTCGGCGTTGTTGATCGGAAAAACCTCGACTGTTACTGATTTTCTGAATAGACTCGGACTTCAAATAACGATCCATAAGGTATGTTTGTGGCATTTAAATCTTACTTGATCACAGAATGCCCGGCGTATCGGATTTCGAAAAAAAATTCCTGATCTCCGGTAAGAAGCTAGTTGACATGCGACAGGTTTATTTTTCGATCGACGCTTTTAGTCGCTTTAGCCGATATTTAGTTTTTCGTGCGAGCTCAAATCGAGGGGATCTATTTGAAGCCGAGAAGATTATTGAAGTTCATTGAATTTCGTAGTCGACTGTTCCTTTTTACGAATTCATCCTTGTGAATCGAAGTAAACCGGAAGTCACGAAATTCGACAGGTACTCCGCGTGCTCTTTAATACACTCCCATCATAGAATGATAAAATATTTCTATCGTTCGTCGTTTTTGCGACGACAGACGTTTAGTATTCTTCGTGTTCGCGGATGCAGAAGGGATTATCACTCTCTGGCGAGGTACATCGTGGACAGGGGGTGAGATTTGTGAGCGTCAACGCGATTCTTCGCGATCTTCGGTCGCATATTCAACTGACATTTTGAAGACGTACCGACGACGCGTGTTGGTTTATATACGGGCTATTTGAGGGCTGGCGAGGGCATTCTTAGGGCTGTTTCTCCATTGTGCTCGTTACACAATGTAACACTATCCCTCTTTGTAACAGCGTAGCCTTGGAGTGTCTTTAATGCGAAATCGAGCGCGAGCTGCTCTGCCGCCCTGCATTATTTTTTCACGAATAATCTCGTTATGAGCATTTAAGTGGCCGGAACTTTAAGGTGATATTTCACTTTTGTTCGCGTGTATCGGACGACGCTTAGACGCGAGACCTTAATTTAAAAAATAATATTTGCAGTTATTATATGTTATATATTTATTTAATAATAATCATAGATTATTTCTCGAAATATTCTGATACACGTTTGATGTCAGTAGCTCGTTAGTATTCATTGTCCTCCATCTGCTAAAGCAAATCTGTTTTGCAACCCGGCGCTTGTCACAGTTTAGGGAAATTTATGTAGAAT